TATATAAAATATATAAAAAGAGAGAGAAGATGATAGTTTTATTAGTCAACCTTCCAGAAATTTATTACGGAATAATAATTTACAATAAAAGTTGTTACTGCACGGTCAACTGACATAATATAAAAATTGAGCAAAAGTATTAGTTATTGCCTTGTACCATATTATATTTATATTTTATTTTATTTTCTAGATAACAACAAAAATTCACATTTATTATTTGAAAATATACACTGTGTAAATTTTGGTTCTGTTTAGTAAATAACTATTAGCTGATAGCTGATAGTTGTTAACTGATTGGGTTAATTAGAAGGTATAATTAGTTGATAAAATTAGCTGATTGTAGGAAGGTGTTTGATAAATTAACTGTTAGCTGATAGCTATTTGGTATAATTTCTTTTCTCAAAAAATTAATTGAAAAAGCTCTTCAAAGTAATTTTTTGAATTTTAGTATTTTGAAATTAATTTTTAACCAAATTAAACAATTACCAATGATAAAATAAGTTAAAATTGACTGATAGGTTAATATTTTACTAATCAGGGCCTTTGTTATTTAGTAATAACACCAAACCACACATAAATGAAAAATAAACTACACTAAAAGAAACATTTATACAAATGAAATTGATCAGAATAACTTCACCTATTCATCCACTCATTTTCTGATTCTGACTCTTTATTTATATTATATTTTATTGCTCCATGAGATTCATGCATGTTTAATTTTAATATATTTTATTTTATTTTATTTAAAAGGTCGGGCACCCCAGTCCGGGCACACAACTTTAATTAATTAATTACGAAGTATTATTTTTATAATACAAAGCTCATTTTTGTAAAATAATTAACTTATAAGATAATTTTAACATGTTTAACTTGGTTAAACAATCCATATGATTCTTTGATTACCTAAGTTTTTTGTAACAACTTATTGCTTCAAAATACTAAAATTAAAAAAAAAAAAACGGTTCAAGAGATATTTTTTTAATCATTTTTTTTTATAAAATCATTTTATATGTAAAACACTCCCAAAACTAGCCTTATTTCGAGCGTATTGCCAAACGGATAGACCTATATATATGAGGACGCTGATTCGCTGTCGTAATTCTCTTCTTTGATTGGTCAAATAACAGTCGCCGTTGCTTTCAGGTTCAGAAGTCTGGAGCCACCGCGCAGACACGGAGAATTATTGGAGAAACAGTACGTAAAAATACATAGAATAATATAGGCGTTCAAGGCAAGCACGCAGAATTGCACACTGTCGTGTTTATTGCGTTTTTCCGAGCGGAACAGATATCGGATTCTTAACTCTGTGATACGGGGCGCAATTTTGTCGAACAATGGCGAGCGAGGAGTATATGCAGAAAATGCAGGCTCGGAAGAGCTACCGCAACTTCTGGCACACCGATCTCATGAGTGCCCCATTGGCAGATCCTCTCTGTACGTTTCGCGCTCGCTTGTTGGGGGGATTTTGGTTTATTTTGCCCAGTTTTAGTTATCATTTACGAAATTGCGATAAATTTGTATTCGAAATTTGTAGCTAATGCTACGATTTTTGTTTTGTTTTTGCTTTTTTGCAGATTGTTGTTTCTCTGTTTGTTGGTGAGTATTGTTTACTCTTTTAAAGCCCCTTTTTATGGGTTCTTTTCAATAACTTTTGATGATTATGATTTTGTGATCTTGTGTTTGAATGTACTGTGTGAACAAGGAAACTAGAAAGGAAAATCAAATACTCTATAATATTTACTGCATCAAATGAAAACCTGTTCTTAGCTAGCAATCACAAATAATGACAACCTAATTCCTTACACCGAACTTGTTATGATGACTTTCATATATTTGAACTACTGAACTTATTCGTGTAGATCAGTAAACTTGGGAGCTTTTGTAGTCTATTTTGTCATAAATGTTAGCGTCTTCATTATTTTATTTTGTATTTGAAAGCATCTGGACACAGAACACAGGGATATTTTTGGCCTTTTAACTTGTTAGGTTGTGATTGATATTCAGCAATTGTAGTTGGCTGCTTTTACTTGTAGATTTGCAGAAATTTTTAGTGAGTTCTGCATTTTGTGTTTCATAGCTGTAATATTCTACGGAGTTTATTATCTGCAATGTTACCAAGTTCTTTCCTATTTCAAAATTTTGTAATGCTGCTCCACTGGTTTATCTGCTTTGATTGCCATTCCACATCTTGTCTTCACTAACACAACAATGTTCCATACTCAAATTGTCAATCTAAATTTTCTTACTAGTGTATCTGTTAATGATCAGTGGTCCATGTGCCTCATATCTCCTGCGCAAGCGAGCTCTTTATAATGATATGTCTAGGTAAAGCTGTCATTTCTACAGTAGGCCTAATTCCCTTAAAGGCATTGTGCTTCTGAAAAAAAAAACAAACTAATTTCTAAATTTATTTTCTTTCATAGATACATATGCTGTGGGGGATATATGCCTTGCAGTGGTCGATGTGGAGAAAGTCATTGCCCTGAACTTTGTCTTTGCACAGAGGTATGCATTTTTTTTGGTTGGAGCTTAAATAAGCTGGATCCGATATATTTATCTTTGTTTTATGATCTCTGCACTATTTCCTTTGATCAGGTTTTTTGTTGCTTTGCGAATTCAGTTGCTTCAACACGCTTTATGTTACAAGATGAGTTCAACATACAGACAACACAGTGTGATAATTGCATAATTGTAATCTCTCTGTCCATGTAGACTGGATGTAGTTTTTGATCTTCCTATCCTTTTGCTTCCCGCTTGTTCCTTATTCACATTGCTTCCTATACAGGGATTCATGATCTGTCTCCAGCAGCTGGCATGCATATGTAGCTGCATTGCTTGCATTCTTGGAAGTGACGAACTTAGAGAACTGTCTCAGATATTGAATTGCCTTTCGGACATGGTTACCTGCACGTAAGAGGTTTCCTATATACTTTGTCTGATTGCCCTGTGAAAATGCTGTCTGCTGACTTATTTTCTGTTCATTTTTCATGGCAGGGTTTGCTCCTGTATGCAGGTATGTGCAGAAAGGAGTTTCTTTTCCATCTGCGCCATAATATGGAACTGGATTTTGAAAATATCTTTTTTTTTAAGCGAACAAATTTTTTTTTTCTATGAATTTATCTTGGAGAGTTACCTCACCTTGTTTGCTGCATATATGATAATCTTCAGCATGATAGAGAGTTTAGAGTTACCTCACCTTCTTTCACATATTCAAGTTCTAGTTTACTTTTAATGTTAAAATGTGTCATCTTTCTCTTGTCAAATGAACTGTTAACTGTTTTAATGTTGTTGTCTTGTTTTGATCATCATACAGACACAGCACAAAGTTGAAATGGATAAAAGAGATGGGAAATTTGGGCCGCCACCACCAATGGCGGTTCCTACTCCTCAACAGATGTCTCGTATAGATCAGCCTCTTCCTCCACCAGCAGGACCTGGTCAGTCACCTCCACCACAGCCAATGGCTTACCCACCACCCCAGCAGGGATATGGTTACCATTACCAAGCACCTCCACCACAACCAACAGTGGGCTATGGCTACTCACCACAGTCTCCCCCAACACATGGACAGGGCTATGGTTACCCACCAACTGGACAGGGCTATGGTTACCCACCACCAACAACTGGACAGGGCTATGGATATCCACTACCACCTCCTTCCCAAGGTCTCCAAATGCCAAATTATCCTCCACCTGGAGCAGGTTATCCCCCACCCAATAATGCCAAGTAACTCAATAAAAGTTTGAAAATTCGTTGTTGTGCAAATTAAAATTCACTCCTTTTCATTGCTGTAAAATAAAAGCCACCCCCCAAAATACAGTTTTTTGTGCACACTACATAAGTATTAGTCACTATAGGGCTTTGTTCTGTTACATTAGTATCAGTTTGGAATTGCATCCCTGTCTTGCCTTGTTTATTGTCCTATCAAGTAGCATTGTCCAGGTCGTGTGAGATGATTGTAATTTGTAATCATATATTCATATGTTAGTATATTATAGTGTTTTAGGAACAGCCTTCAAGGCTTCAATGATGGAATTGTGTTTCACATCCTTACTTTGATAAGGTTGGTTTTGATTCTCTGTTACTTTAGAATAGTGTAAATATAGTAGTTGGTTGGATGAAGACACAAACAGGTACACTTTAACAAGTTATACCTTATGCGCAGAATATGGATTTTTTAAAAAAATTTAAATATAGTGCTGATAGTATTAGCGTATAATTATGTATCAACTTATGGATTAATTTGTATATATTCAAAGATTCTTTGTCATTATATATAAACAAAATAATATTTTTTAGAATTTAAATTATCAAATTTCTAGAAGTTGAATTGTTATATTCAATATTGTAATGATTATTATATATACTATAATAAAAGCTATAAATTATTTTAATTTCACTGTTGCCCCCTATAATTGTTTCACAGTCGCCCCAATGCCAGACGCATGCTTGAGTCCCTAACCTCATTCGTCAGTTTGGCATCTTTCTTGAAAAATATAGTAATTCTCCGTCGTCCTCAATTCTTTGTCACATTTGCACGATTTTTAATGCAACAAAATAAATATTACCAACTTTTAATTTTACCTTTAAAAGTAAGTATTGTTTGTACAAAGTATAATAATATCTACCTCGTTAATTATCTAGAAATTTAAAAAAGTTAAAAAGATAAATTTAAAAATGTAGAATAAAAGTTATGTTCAATTTTGAAAAGACGACACTATTTTTGAACAAACTAAAAAATAAAATAAGACATATTAAATGGGACAGAAAGAGTAATAACTTGAAAAGTTCTACTACATGTACTCTCAAATTTTACTCCTTCACTTTTATTTTATAATATAATAACGTGGTAAACAAAGATTTTATATTTGCATAGATCTTAAAAAATATATCTATATTTAAAAATGAAGGTGCATGTAGTATTTTTCTAGCTTGATTTTAAGCAAAATCTTTTGGAATCTATTGAGCACATTTCTCCATGTACAACGTAAATGTAGACGTACGTGCAATCGTGTAGATCTCAAAATAAATCGGCAAAAAAAAAGGAGCTTTATGAGGAGAAGGAGACAGGATGCGGTAGTTCTGAGTTAAATTCAGTACTGATATCACGACTGATGACGGAAACAGCCCGGAGCCGCTTATCGAACTCCTCCTGCAACTCACGTGGCACAAGCGACGCCCTGCATAGAGGACACGTATTCCGTCCGTTGTCAATCCAACGGTCCAGGCATCTCCGGTGGAAAACGTGATTGCAGTTCCTCAACCACCTGACCTCATCCCCGCTCTCGTACTCGCCCAAACACACCACGCAGCTTTCCAGCATATCTTCTCCGCCGTCGACCTCCGAGAACTTCGCCATCTCCAGAAGCTCCCGAATCAACATTGAATCCGCGGACTGGTTTCCAATTCCAGCTGAACTCTCATGAAAATATACCTCTAGTTCAGGAGATTCTGCCTCCGTGAGCCCTAGAGAGGCGAAGATGGAGAAAAAGACGGTTCTCAGAAAGCACATTATGGAAAGAATTTGAACGATGACGCTGGGCACATGCACATCGGTGTAAATCACCGGAAATCCCATTGAAGTCAACTTTCACTGAGAAGCTTGGAATTCTAAGAATTTTGAGATTGGCGCATAAACAAGAAAAATTTCTATCTATGCGAAGAGATATAAATAGCACTATATCAGTAGAAACTAGAAAGAGATAGGTAGCATCGGAATCCGCACCTAGTGGATATATATAAAATACTACGGCGTACTTTGGTGTGTGACCGTGCACGAAAGAGCAACTACCAAGGATATAGAGTGTGACATATAATGAGTTGAAAGAGTATTATCTATTTAAATAAATTAGTTTAATTATTCATAATTAATCTGTTTAAATCGCGAAAGTCAGCCAGTATTAATTGTTGTTCAATGTTCATAGTAATTATAATTATCTTTCAAACAGTATTAATTGTTGTTCAATATTCATAGTAATTATAATTATCTTTCAAATGCAATGTTTTTTGTTCAGAAGATTTATTAATTTCGTCATCCTTGTTCATTGATTTATTCCAAGTTAGCAAGTAACGTACACATTTCCATTTCATCTACTCAATCATCGATTACAGATTTACGGGACAATAATTATTTTTATTGGATGTCATAACTATTATATGGAGGTGTCATTCTCTTGTAAGACTGCATATAAAAATTAAATTCGTGATAGGTTAATACAAAAATTATAATCCAAAGATATTGTGGTCAATCGGCATAAAGTAATTCTCCCAAATAATTGTCATGAGTTCGAATTTATTGAAAAAATAGTATATATGATAATATGAATAGATACTACATGGAATTGTTGATTTGATAATTACGAATTTACAACTTTGACTCTTGATATATTCTTGATTTGAATGAATAAAGTCATAAACAATTTAAAATAATTTCTCTTTTTGTCACAAAAGATATTTTACGTAATATCTAATTTGGTGTAGTGAGACAATAAAAATAATTCCTAATAAAAATTATGCTCCACCTAAAAGCCATTTTGAGATTTGAGGCAATATTTATTAATTTTAGTGTATTAATGGAATGATAATAATAATAATTGGATTATTGGTTTATTGGGTTGCAAAATGCCAATGGTAGTAAATTGTCCATCCAAACAATCTGGAAATCAGTGGCATCATACTGCCTCTGTTATTTTTCTCTCTGCAGAATGCTTCCGATTTGGATCTCCTGCAAAACATTGCATCTGGTTTATATAACTCATTGATTTGCATTCTCTTCTTCTCTGCTTAATCAACCGGAAATTTTGGCGGCAGAAGTTCATACATTGATTATATATATACATCCATAGAAGATATTATTTTAACGCACATCCATAGAAGATGTATATGTCATTTGGATGGCCACAGGTCATCCCGCTGGAGCCAGGAATTTGTCCTTCTTCTCAGCGGATTGTGTATCTGAAAGTCACCAATCGGTTTTTGCTCGTTGTGTCGCCTACTCACCTCGAGCTCTGGTCGTCTTCTCAGGTAATTCGGACGAATTGATGATTGTTTTTGGTAGGATGGCGTTTTTGTTGAAATGACGGGAGCTTTACTGAATTCATATTGTTTAATTGTATTTTGGTGCAGCATAGAGTGAGAATCGGGAAGTACGAGAGAGATCCGGGTTCCATTCAGAAGGAAGGCGAGAATTTGCAGGCCGTATGCAGTCCTGAGACGAAATTAATTGCCGTTCTTGTAAGTTTAGAGCTGATCATTTAATCATTTAATGCGGTTGTAGTATAATGTAGCTGATGGTGCATTTTTGTACGGAGCATCATTTTCTGGAGAATGTGATAGTTATTTTGCTGGAGAAATCAGCAGTTTGTATTGTTAGTTAGCGTTTAATGATTGACACTAAACAACTCTGCATTTTGTTTAGTAGTGAGATTTGTATTAAAATTTTCCTTGATTTATACTCTTGTCTACTGACAAGTAAAAGGGTGATCTTTCTTGTTATCAGTAAATAAAATAATTGATTGTAGATTAAGCTTATGCCTTTTATGTAGCTACAAATCACTGTTGTCATCTTTTTCTGCTTGTACAATCTTTATCCTATTTTTGGCAAGCTGAATATTTTTATGCTGAACTGGAAAGAGTCTCATCCTGATCATATTTTATCATGTTCTTTCACAGACATCTTCTTTGTATCTCCAAATTCTTAAGGTTCATTTTACAGAAAAGAAAATACAACTTGGAGGGAAACAACCGTCTGTGTTGTTTCTAGCGGACATTACTTTACTCTTGAATGAGCAGGCTCCATTTGCTGACAAGAATTTGTCAGCGTAAGTGAGTCTCTTGCTACTTTGTTTAGGATTTGATTTTACATGCTGAAAAAGGTGACAACAATTGCTTATCAAACATGAAATTTGATTAATGTGCATGGGATTGTTAGTGACTTCTGGGAACTGTTCTGTGTAAACCTTTAGGACAGAGAATATTTCAAGTAATAAATAGTTATCTTTCAAGTAAATTCACTTCCACTCTCGTTATTTTATGATTGGTAGGCGGTAGGCCAATATGAAATTCCCAGACTTCTTGGCATAGTGATTCATAGGCTTAAGAAGGTGATAAAGGTTTGATGTGTAGTCCTGTGTCCTGTATCCCAGTAGATTGGCATATTTAACTATAACATAGTTTTCTCTGATGTTCCATACTTTTAGTATAGTCGGAATCAACTTTCAGTGGTCATCCATATTGATTATTTTAACAATATAATTTTGGTATAATTGCATACATTTTTAAACATATCAAGAACATCAGAGTGATTTTATTTCTGACTACCTTTTAGCTTTTCTTATGTTGTTAGTAGTGTTGGTCTTGGTGGGCATAAGGGGGGTGGAAGTGTGGAACAATGTGATGCATAATGGTATTGAGTCGCATTAGAATTATATTTCTTGATTTTTGTTCATCTCTTTGTGATTAAGGTATTTTCTTAAAACTCTGATGTTTCTGGCAGGAGCAATATTATCTGTGATAGCAGAAACATGTTAGTTGGACTCTCTGATGGATCACTGTACAACATATCTTGGAAGGGTGAGGTAATAATATGGATACGTTTAAATATGTGGGGCTTGTTTAATGTTTATCATTTCAATGCTTAAAGTGCCTATCTAAAGACATAAAAGAAAGTGTGCAAAAAATATTGCTTTTGAATTCAGCTCTTCTGAGAATTCATAAACATTTTACTCATGCTGATTTATTTTTTCCCTCTTTTTTGTTGATATGGTTTAATACAGTTTTGTGGAGCCTTTCATCTTGATGCTCAGCTTCATGATGGTAGTGAGGCTATTAAAATTTCAAATTCTCTGGAAAATGGTCTAGCTTCTGTTGGAGTTCAAGTTGATTCTGAACTTAATCATTATTCATCAAAATCATCTGGTGTGATCTACCTGGACTTTTCCCTACCTTTAAGGTTACTGTTTGTGCTATTTTCGGATGGACAACTTGTCCTGTGTTCTGTGAGCAAGAAGGGCTTCAGGCAAGCTGAATCTGTCAAAGCTGAAAAGAGGTTGGGTTCTGGTGATGCTGTATGTGTCTCTGTTGCTTCAGACCAACAAATTCTTGCTGTTGGTACCACAAGAGGTGTTGTTGAGTTGTATGATCTAGCAGAATCGGTTTCACTATTACGTTCAGTTTCTTTATATGACTGGGGGTAAGCTTTGGTGATGCATTTGAACTCTATTAAAGATATGGACCTGCAACTTGAGAAGAGAGCTTAACCTTTATCTGCGTCATCATTTTCTCCATTCATTATTTCTTATTAGCTTTCTGTCTGGAAAAAAATTTATACTTGATGGTTTACAATGGAAGGGAGTTGTGAAATATGGATGATCAATAAGTTGCTGTGTGTGTTTTTATTTGTTTTGTGTGGGTATGGTGGGAGGGGGAAGGATTTGAAGAGGTTATCGTAGCCACATATTTTACTCCATTACTCTTTCCTTCTTGCAAAATGCTGTATTTGTGATTAAAAGCTCATGGTGGAAACCCATCCCGCTTGCAGAATTTACAATACAAACTTGTCAGTTTGCAATATGGCTTAGAATGGTACTATCAGAGTCACAGATCTATTTGTAAGGTTGCCTAATGATTTAGTTGCATGCGCTAGTCCCATAACCCCTTAGTTAAATAGATTTGATGGAAACTGGTTTTTACTGAAGTGCAATCAAATGATATAATTTTGATACTCTACGGTGGTCTTTTGCAGATATTCTGTGGAAGATACTGGTGCTGTAAATTGTATTGCATGGACACCTGACAATTCTGCTTTTGCAGTTGGGTGGAAGTTAAGAGGACTCACAGTTTGGTCTGTTTCTGGCTGCCGATTAATGTCTACCTTTTGCCAAATTGGATTAAGTTCTGTATCTTCTCCAGTAATTAAGCCAAATCAAGAATATAAAAATGAACCCATGATGGGTGGAACCTCCCTGATGCACTGGGATGAACATGGATATAGGCTTTATGCTATTGAGGAAGGATCTTTGGAGAGAATAATTGCATTCTCTTTTGGGAAATGCTGCCTCAACAGAGGAGTTTCTGGGACAACTGATGTTCGTCAAGTTATATACGGTGAAGATAGGTTACTTGTTGTGCAATCAGAAGATACTGATGAACTCAGAATCTTGCATCTCAACCTTCCGGTACATGCTTGCAAACTGAAGAATCTGGATTTAAAATTTGTTCTTTTTTCTTTTACCTTTTTTTTTTTTTGTTTTTTTTTGTTTTTTTGTTTTTTTTTGTTTTTTTGTCATCAAGGGATGTTTGTTTTTGACATATTTAGTCTCTGCCCAGGTTTCGTATATTTCCCAAAATTGGCCTGTTCTACATGTAGCTGCTAGCAGAGATGGGATGTACTTGGCTGTTGCTGGTTTTCATGGGTTGATCCTGTATGACCTACGTTTAAAAAAATGGCGTGTTTTTGGAGATATTACTCAGGAACAAAAAATTCAATGCAGAGGCTTGCTATGGCTGGGGAAAATTGTTGTTGTTTGCAACTATGATGGTTCTTCCGATACGTAAGGAGAATATGTGCACATAAGTGTTGCTAGTATTTAGAAA